GTTGTGTCACTTGAGTAATTTGTGACATAATTATATTCATGGTACATATTGTTGAATTCTAGTTGGCATCAAGCTGATATAAATGTACTTCTGCATGTCAGAAATTCACAATGAATGCATTATTTTGTGAAACTGGCTGGAGGCATGATGTAAAATACATTACAGTTGTCCCTATGTATTCTTAGGCCTCATAATTCCTAAGAATATCGCAGTCTTGCTAAATCAAATGCTCTTAGGTAAGACAATTAAGGACATAAGTCTCTCTGAGCAACTAATAATGACAGACATGCTGTCTTTGATTTGGAAAAAAATTTCATCCTAGAATTACAGAATCAAAGTTGGATGGGATTTGGGATATCATCAAATCCAATGCATTGGATGCTGCGGGATTCATTGAAACCCTGATCCTGCCTCTATTTGAAAGGGAAGAACCACTTTCCGTGCAGTAACTGGTAGCTCCTACTGTCCCAATATCTAATCTGTGTCTTCATCCTTGAAATTTCATCCCATTAGTTCTGGACATACTCAGTGGAGCAAGTGAGAATGAATGTGAAGTCTTTCTTTACAGTGTGATAGCTGACAACAGCTACTATGTCCCTTTTCAACCTTCTCTTCTGCAAGCTGAACATCTCTAGGACTTATAACGGTTCCTTGTAGGACTTGGTTTCCACTCCTTTCACCATCTCAGTAAACCTTCTTTGGACTCGCTCCAGTTCACCCATGTCTTTTTTTAAATTAGGGTATTGTTTTATAAACATGCCTTTCCCCACAACCACAACCCTGTGAGTTGGGTTGGGCTGAAAGAGAGTGACTAGCCCAAACTCACTCAGCCAGCTTTCATGCTTAAGGGAGGAGTAGAACTCAAGTTTCCTGGTTTCTAGCTGGTGCCTTAACCACTAGATCAACCTGGCTAATAGTGTGTGTGTGTGTGTGTGTGTGTGTGTGTGTGTGTGTGTGTGAGAGAGAGAGAGAGAGAGAGAGAGAGAGAGAGAGAATTACAGACACAAACCTATCAGGTGCATCTATTTTGCACCTGCATCCATGTGCAAATGGCACCAGCCCATTTTCAGGATTCAAAGGGTTACCCAAACCAAGGAAACAGATTAATTCAATCTCCAGATTAAACCTGTTTTGTAAATACAACCAGAACGCTGTGCTCTCTCTCAATCATTTATCTGAAGCAAAACATTTTAAAATTAAAAAGCTAGAAAATTAGCAGGGGGGATGTTTGGGCCTCACTAGAAACAGAGAAAAAAAATTGGGCGATGTAGGACTGTAAAAGGTGGTAAGATTGCCTTCTGACATCATGAAGATTTAGTGTCCCCTTTATACCCACTACAGTTTAATTCCATCATTTTTCTCTCCCATCTCTTCCCTAATTAAGAAAACTTTGGTTGTGTCCTTCCAAGTCCTAAAGCCGGACAATTCTTGCTTGTTGACAAAACTGGCAATTCTGCCCTGAGAATTCTAGCTCTCAACTTAACTCCCATAGATTCTCTTCAAGTGAAAGAAATAATTCTTCCATTTGAAAAGTTTAAAACAGTACAGCAGCCACCCCCTAACCTGGGTGCCTTACCTGGATGGATTTTATCTCCCATAATTCTCCTGACAATATAGCCGTAGCTGAGAATTCTGGGAAATGGAGTTCATCTCTTTACAAGGCACCCAATTTAAAGATCGTTCCAGTCATGTTCACTGCAAAGATAATAGCACATTCCCAAAATGCATTAATTTCATTGAACTGCTGAGCAGGAGAGAAGATCTGTGAACTGGAAACTGACAGTTTCCATTCTCCAGATGTAACTAAGTAAATTGATGCTGAAATGTTGATGTACGCTATGACATCATCACATACAGAGCACAGAGATGACAATGTGTATCCTTATTTAAAATCAGCAGAAACTATTTTCCTTCTGCTTAAATATATTTGAAGCCACCCTACCTTGAATATCTTAAGAAAGAAAGACAGAGCATAAATCAAATAAATAATACAAAAAGCTAATAAAGCAAGAAGAGGTTTTGCACATACTTTGAATAAATGGCTGAGTTATACAGTTTAAGTCCACACACAGTTTTGAAAACTTAGGAATCTATTATGGAATTCATCGATCTATGTAATATTTAAGTCAGGATGAGAAATCAGGGACTTATCAGATCAAATTAAACTCTTATCACATTCATCTAGAGTTTATGGGATCTACAATAAGTAAGCACAAATTCTCTGCCATGGGTTGTACTTGCTGATAATGTTTTTTTCCCCATGATTCAGAAAAAATATTTTTTCAGTCTTGAGATATTTTTCTGAAATCCAAATTCAAATTCACTATGAAACATCTGCATTTATGTTAGCTTAAACATTTATTTTATGCTACCATCTTCTGATACAGTCAGAATTATTTTTTATCCACTATGATTAATTAAATTGAGCTAAAATAATCAACATTGGTAGAGATCAAGCTTCTTTAAAGGTTATCTCTTATTCTATATCTACTGATCATTCCACATCTTTTTTAAACTGAACTATATGTGACTATTTTGACTTTTCTTGAAAGGTAGGAGTCTCACATGAGAATAAGTTTTGGGTCATTTGGAAATTTTCAAGCTTTTCAGCACTTTTACTGAGATTAAGAACTCTGGGTGGGGAATGTTTTACTATAAGGGGAACAAATGCTTTGTTTTAATCTTCTTTAGGTAATGGAGACTTTCTCCTCAAGATAAACCTTCTAATAATCAAATGCACTGTGTCAAAAATCTGAACTCAATAATTGATGACTTTTCTGATATTTTACCTGTCTACAAACCTGTCTCTTAACAATTCCCCCCCCTTTTTATTTTGTTTCTATCTCTAACAATTTCTCCTTTTTTATATGTTTAAAATGGCTATGGAACAGTTAGATTCTAAATCAGATGAGTATAAAGGAGAAATGAGATGTTGTGTGTCCAAGTTTTTATGGGTTTAAACACTAAAGTCTTCTTACGAAACCCAACAGCTTTTTTATAGAGCAGACAGCAGTGAAGGCAGAAATATTGGTAAACATTCAATACGTATGTAAAGGAAATAATATTGTGGCCAATAGAAGTTCAAAAGATATACATTGCCCTTCCTTGTAGTACAGAATAATCTTTAAGATATTTAATTATTTATTTATCTATTTATTTATTTTTCATGTTTCTAGACCGTCCATTCCCATCAAGGATAAATTTAAACTAGAACCAACTTAAAAGGTAATTCAATTTTAGGAGCATCCATTTGATCCTAAAATTTTGCTTTAAAGTTTATTTAAAAAAAAAACACCCTAATAATACATAGAAAAAGGTTAACATCTTAGAAAAAGGGGAGGGTTTTGTTAGCTGTGTATCTATAGCTCAGAAAGTAGGACACCTATCCATTAGAGATATTAAGGTACAACTGTGTCATTCTGTAATAAACTCCATGAGTTTGGGGGCACCCGTTCTGTCTAATAAATATTATTAAAAGGCATACATTCTCATGAGTTGCATCTCCCCACCAGGGATACAATTGTCTGTTGGATGTTCCATAAGATAAAGCCAAAGAAGGTAGTCTTTAAATGAGAATAAGCAGCATATTTCCCTTTCAGAATAGAATGGAATGGAATGGAATAGAATAGAATAGAATAGAACAGAACAGAACAGAACAGAATAGAATAGAATAGAATAGAATAAGAAATGGATAGGATAGCATAGGATAAGAAAAAACAATAGAATAGAATAGAATAGAATAGAATAGAATAGAATAGAATAGAATAGAATAGAATAGAATAAGAATGGATAGGATAGGATAGGATAAGAAAAAACAATAGAATAGAATAGAATAGAATAGAATAGAATAGAATAGAATAGAATAGAATAGAATAGAATAATGGAATGGAGTAGAATAGAATAGAATAGAATAGAATAGAATAGAATAGAATAAGAAATGGATAGGATAGGATAGGATATGGAATTTAAGAATAGAATAGAATTGAACATATGGAACGGAATGGAATAGAATAGAATAGAATAGAATAGAATAGAATAGAATAGAATAGAATATATGGAATGGAATGGAATGGAATAGAATAGAATAGAACAGAACAGAATAGAATAGAATAGAATAAGAAATGGATAGGATAGCATAGGATAAGAAAAAACAATAGAATAGAATAGAATAGGAATAGAATAGAATAGAATAGAGAATGGATTATAATAATGGAATGGAATGGAATGGAATGGAATGGAATGGAATAGAATAGAATAGAATAGAATAGAATAGAATAGAATAGAATAGAATAGAATAGAATAGAATAGAATAGAATAGAATAAGAATGGATAGGATAGGATAGGATAAGAAAAAACAATAGAATAGAATAGAATAGAATAGAATAGAATAGAATAGAATAGAATAATGGAATGGAGTAGAATAGAATAGAATAGAATAGAATAGAATAGAATAGAATAGAATAGAATAGAATAGAATAGAACAGAACAGAACAGAATAAGAAATGGATAGGATAGGAAAGGATAGGATAGGATAGGATATGGAATTTAAGAATAGAATAGAATTGAACATATGGAATAGAATAGAATAGAATAGAATAGAATAGAATAGAATAGAATAGAATAGAATAACAGAGTTGGAAGGGACCTTGGAGGTCTTCTCCAAGCAGGGGATCCTGTACCATTCTGGATAAATGGCTGTCCAGTCTCTTCTTGAAAACCTCCAGTGATGGAGGAGCATCCTCAACCTCTGAAGGCAAGCCATTCCACTGATTCCTTGTTCTCGCTGTCAGGAAATTTCTCCTTATTTCTAGTCTGGCTTTCTCCTTCCCAAGCCTCTCCTTCTTTATCCACATCTTTATCCCCAAACCAACTACCTTTGGCATCACAGTGGTAAACAGTGATTTGTGCAATACTACACAAAAGTGTGGTTTCTTAGTGAAAGAGGAAGAGGGAGGAGGAAGAGGAAGAGCAGGAAAGGATTCAGCTTTAAAGTTACTGACCTCTTGACCGGTGTTGTTGCTTCCAGGGAGTTTAAAGTAAGAGACAAGATGATGAAAATAAAAGGTCCCTTAAGACTGCACATTTCTCTTTCGGCTGCTTTCGAAGGAAAGGCGGGGGAAAGAAGAATTGAAAAAGCCAAGTTAACAAATTAGACAAACACAAACACACGCACCCCCAAGGTCGATTTTCCAGGATTCTTTTCCCGCTGAATGGCAAATCTTGCTAGCTAAAAGCTAGGATGGGGATTCAGTCAGGTGGCTAATCTGAGCCCAGTCCAACCCCAATTTTAAATCTTTTCAGTTTTCCTATCCGAGTTTATGAATTTACTCTAAAAGAAAATTAAAAAACAAAACAAAACAGGAGGGCATCTCTGCTCTCATCTGGCTGGAAAGAGACTGCTTTGTGCGTGAGGTCCAGCCCCTTCCTCTCCTGTTTATCTTTGCATTATCTTTCTGAAGGGCCGCAAGAAAGACAAAATATTCTCAACCTGAGATTTTACCTGGAGGGTTAAACGAAGGTCCCTGCAGCAGCAGAAAAGGACAGTTTGAATTCCACTCTTCTAATCCAATAGTCTTTGCTGCTATCTTTCTGGCTGGCAGACAATGCTGCTCTTATATACCCCTTGTACTTTGTTCGGCTCTGACATCAAGCAGCAAAGAGAGAGCGAATGTGTGTGTGTGTGTATGTGTGCGTCTATGTGCGTGAGAGAGAGAGAGATTGGCAGAGAACGATTCTATCATTAACTTCTGTCCCCATAGATGGGAATGCCCCAATAAAAAACAGGAATAGAATAGAGCTGGAAGGGACCTTGGAAATCTTGTAGTCCAGCCCCCTGCTCAAGCAGGAGAACCTATATCATCTCAGACAAGTGACTGTCTAGTCTCTTTTTAAAAATCTCCAGTGATGGAGCGCCCACGATTTCTGGAGGCAAGCTGTTCCACTGGTTAATTGTCCTTACTGTTAGGAAGTTTCTCCTTAATTCCAGGTTGTTTCTCTCTTTGAGCAGTTTCCAACCACTGTTTCTTGTCCTGCCCTCTGGTGCTTTGGAAAATAATTTGACACCCTCTTCTTTGTGGCATCCCCTCAAATACTAGAATGCTGTTATCATGTCTCCCCTATTTCTTCTTTTCTAAAGAAGCCAAACTCAAGTTCTGCAGGAGATGGATGCCTTTGTTCATCACCTAATGAGAAGGAAGGACTCACTGGAGAAGAGCCTAATGCTGGGAAAGATTGAGGGCAATAGAAGAAGGGGACGACAGAGAATGAGATGGCTGGATGGAATCACTGAAGTAGTAGGTGTGAGCTTAAATGGATTCTAGAAGATGGTAGAGGACAGGAAGGCCTGGAGGAACGTTGTCCATGGGGTCGCGATGGGTTGGACACGACTTCGCAACTAACAACAAAAACTTCCGTTATTACGTATTTACTGTAGTTATCCACACCCTGTCCCTTTATCCCGATTTTCCTGTACCCGCATCGACCCCACCTTTTCCCTACCCATATAAAATCTAATAAAATATATTTTAAAAAAAACTTCAGTTGAGCCCATGTCAGAGGCCTTTGCGAAGTGATGGGCTAATCAGTTATGCCTGAACAACAACAGGCAAAAAATGGGTTTGAATAAGAGCTTGAGGGAAGTGTTCCTCCAGGTTAGCGGTAGGCTAAGTGAAGAAATGAAACAGGATTTTTAGGACAGTCCCTTGTCTGAAATTGTACAGGGTCTCCTGCTTCAGCAGGGGGCTGGACTGGAAGACCTCCAAGGTCCCTTCCAGCTCTATTCTGGTTGCAAAGGAATGATTGGGAGATTCAGAGTGGCTGAAAAGCGAAGAAAGGAATATTTAGGAAGATTACAATTGTTAAAAAAAAAGTTTAAAGCTCTTTTTTATATTCATAAATAACTCAAGGGTCGAACATGCCCAATACTCCTTCCTCCTATTTTCCTCACAACAACAGCCCTGTGAGGTGAGTTGGCCTGAGAGAGAGAGAAACTAGAAAACTTCCAAGGTGTCTTCTAGCTCTGTTATACTGTTCACCTAAAAGCCAAAGGAATGGAGTAGTGTTAGCCCATTTTTGTGGGCTGAGATATCTTTTTGCTTGATGTTAACACAGTCTTCCAAGTCTTCCAAGGTCATGTATATGTATATAGATCAGAGGTGTCAAACTCAATTTCATTGAAGGCCGCATCAGCATTGCGGTTTCCCTCAGGGGGCCGGGTGGGTGTGGCCAGGGTGGGTGTGGCCTACTGGGTGGGTGTAGATGGAGTGAGTGTGGCCTACTGGGTTGGTGTGGCGAGCTCTACATCGTCAGCATCAAGGGTGCCTGTGGGGGCCTGGGCAGGAGTGGGACAGATCTGAAGGTCTCTTGCAGAAAAGGATGGGACTGGGGCAAGCGCCAAGGCATGGTCCACTGGAGGAGCCTTACTGTTCTTCTCAGGCCATGCAGGAGGGGGGCTTATGGAGCTAAGACTGAATGCGTTTCAGCATAGATGGCCACCACAAAATTGTACATTGGCTCCTGGCTGGCCTGGGCCAGGGCCAAGGCAGTGGGGGCCGTTCCCTCACTGTTTCCAGGATGGCTTTGCAGGCCACATGAAACCACTTCGCGGGCCGCATCCGGCCCCCGGGCCTTGTGTTTGACATGTCTGATATGGATGATAGATAGATAGATAGATAGATAGATAGATAGATAGGTAAAAAGAAAGAAAGAAAGAAAAAAAGAAAGAAAGAAAGAAAGAAAGAAAGAAAGAAAGAAAGAAAGAAAGAAAGAAAGAAAGAAAGATAGAATAGCACCACCCAAAGATTCTCTGAGAGTGAGATGGATGGTCTTGAGAATGAATGCATGCATGAATGAATGAATACTAAAAGAGATCAGACTGGCATCATTGTGTGGCCATCATCATTGTAATAAAAGTGTGCATTTCTCTTTCTAAAATTTTGGAGAACACATAGATATTAAAGCACTCGACTACTTAGAAGCATAAAAGTAATAAGGCCTAAACAATGTATTCATGCTCACATCATCCACCTGCCTGCTTATCACCAAGCACAAATAGAAGGTTGAGAAATAAAGGCTGGAATTTTGCAGGGAACAGGGTGAGCTGGCCAGCTTCTATGGACGATTGGATACGGTCTGTGTTGCCAGTTTGCTCAGCTACATCTCCAGCGGCTGAGTCTTTTTAGTTCTTTTCAGAGTGAGCTTAACATTAGAACATAACATAAAGCTGCACACTGTCCTCCACAGGGTGGGTAGTTACTTTTAGAGCAGTGTTTTTCAAACTTGGCATCTAAAAAATAGGAAGCAAAAGTTAAACCATCTTGGGAATCTAATCCTTCTTATTGCAGCCTCTTTGCAATGAGCACGGCTTTGGTTTTTAAACAAACAAATGTCTGGGAATGTGTGTCTATTTGGTCATTTTTACCTAAGATCTACAAAGGGTTTGCTCAAGGGAACTCTCTGTCAGCAATCAGAATTCGTTTCCCAGTTATTGCTCTTCTCCGCCACCACCCATATAGTTCTAAAAACTGTGAAGAATAAAAAAAATGTCATGGCTGTTCTCTAGAGTGTTTTGTGATGATGTTTTTTTTTTAACAGTCCTGCTAATAAGGGTGGCATCTTCTGGGTAACAAAGGGCAAAACAAAACATCAAGCCTGAGGCTAATAGAAGTCTAAAGATAAATATGAAAGATTTCAGGCAGCAACAAAGATGATCAAGCAGAATGAATGAATGAATGAATGGATGGATGGATGGATGGGTGGATGAATGAATGAATGAAAGAATGAATGAGGTGGTTGTTCACTTGGATGAATTTATGATGGTAGGGAAGACCATGTTTATACTATTTTTTTAGCATCCACCCTTCTCTACTGAGGTACATTAAGCTACTGAGGTACAGGAGAATACACTATATATATATATATATAAAGTGTTTTCCGGTGAAACCGGTCTAACAGAGCACCTGGTCTACCCAAATATGGGATGGAGCAATCTACTATTGCTTTCGCCTTTCAGCCCCAATCTAAGAGCTTTTACAGGCAAACACTATTGCAACAAATTATTTCTGTGTTAAATTTAGATTTTGCCAACAAAGAGTTAAAGGGAGACTAGTATAGCTATTTCAAGCTATTTAGCTCTCATCATCTAGCCATACCCTTCTGAGATTCGAACCCAGGCCACTTGCACATTAGGCAGCTATAGTAACCTCTAGGCCACAAGTTCTCCTCGCTTTCATCAGCTGTATATATATAGCTTGCTCCTCGAAGCACGAAGCTGAAAACACCAGCCTGAAGATGACGAATGGGACTTCGTCGAAACGTCGCCAAGACACTTCCAATTTTACGCGGGAGAAAACCCGAATAACCAAAGACCTACATGCAAATACCCGCGAAAACCTCAGAAAACACACACACACACACACACAAATATATATTTGTTTTCTGAGGTTTTTGCGGATGTTTGTATGTAGGTCTTTGTTTATTCGGGTTTTCTCCTGCGTAAAGTTGGAAGTGTCTTGGCGATGTTTTGACGAAGTCTCATTCGTCATCTTCAGACTGGTGCTTTCAGCTTCGTGCTCCTGAAGCTGAAAGCACCAGCCTGAAGATGACGAATGAGACTTCGTTGAAACGTCGCCAAGACACTTCCAACTTTACGCGGGAGAAAACCCAAATAAACAAATATATGAGAATATATTCTTTATAAATATATTAAGTAAGTAAATAAGAACAGATATTCCTTATGACTGAAACAACATGTGTCATACTGTTAAGGTGGTCCTTGATTTACACCCATATTCATCACTGTTTTATCTGCTTAACAGATACACTTACAAAAGATTTTAATGTACACGCAGCGATACCTGTGGTGTCACACCGGCCTACTTCTCTCTTTTCAGTCAGCTCAGTTGCTCCTTGAAAATAATGGGTTCATTGCAAGCCTCATCATCCAGAGGGTTCAAAGTGCTGGGTTTTAAGGGCTCCAAAAGGGAAGTGCTTCTGAACATCTAAGAGCGTCATCACTGGGGGGAAGGGACAGGATTTTGGAAGATTCCTGCCATCAGAAAAGGAGAGTTTTCTCCCACCAAACCTTTTGCCCATCCATTTTTCTTGCTATTTTCCAGATGCTGCATTTTTCTCCACTGAACACAGCTGTGCTACTAATAGAACAGTAGTTTCCCCTTGAAAATGGGTATTTACTCTTGCAGAACACAGGGGGAGCACAGGGGACTGCCTTGTGAGCTGATTTTAAATGAAAAAGCCCATTCCTGTTCCATCTCAGGAAAATTTACTTCAGAAATGATGGCTGGACAGCAGATGGAAGATAGAACATAGTTCATAGAACAATAGAGCTGGAAGGGACCTTGGAGGTCTTCTAGTCCAACGTCTGCTCAAGAAGGAGACCCAAACCATTCCAGCAAATGACCATTCAATCTCTTCTTGAAAACCTCCAGTGATGGAATGCCCACAGCCTCTGAAGGCAAGTGGTTCCACTGGTTAATTATTCTCACTGTCATGAAAGTTCTCCTTAGTTCTAGGTTGGATCTCTCTTTAATGATCTTCCACCTGTTACTTCTTGTCCTGCCCTTAGGTGCTTTGGAGAATAGGGTGGTCCACTGTTCTCTGGGACAGCCTTCAAGTACTGGAAGACTGCTATCATATCACCCCTAGTCCTTCTCTTTGTTAGATTAGACATACCTAGTTTTCTCAATCAATCTCTCTTTCAAAGATAAGAAAGGCTGAACAGACCTCTTGTTCTTTCTCCCTATGAAAAATATTGCTGGATAATTGACCTTGGAATTCCTGATGACCCTGAATTTCATCCCTATCTAGAATAGAATAGAACAGAACAGAACAGAACAGAACAGAATAGAATAAAATAGAATAGAATAGTTAGAGGTCTTCTAGTCCAACTCCCTGATCAGGCAGGAGACTCTATACCATTTCAGACAAATAGTTGTCCAGTCTCTTCTTAAAAACTTCCAGTGTTGGAGCATTCACAGCTTCTGGAGGCAGGTTGTTCCACTGATTAATTGTTCTCACTGTCAGGAAGTTTCTCCTTAGTTCTAGGTTTCTTCTTTCCTGGATTAATTTCCATCCATTGCTTCTTGTCCTGCCTTCAAGTGCTTTGGAGAATAGCTTGACTCCCTCTTTTTTGTGGGAGCCCCTGAGATATTGGAGCACTGCTATCATGTCCCCCCCTAGTCCTTCTCGTCATTAAACTAGACCAGGGCTAGGCAACCTTGGCTCTTTTATGACTCGTGGACTTCAACTCCCAGAATTCCTGAACTGGCTGGGGAGTTGAAGTCCACGAGTCATAAAAGAGCCAAGGTTGCCTACCCCTGAACTAGACATACCCAATTCCAGCAACCGTTCCTTATATGTTTTAGCCTCCATGGCTGATTTTAGCCCCACTAATGGCTGGATAATGGGGGAATGATCCATGTAATTTGGAGGATACCATGTGAGAGAAGACTAGTTTACACAAACTGCTGGAGAAAGGAGTGGTCCAATATGCTATTCTTGACATCACAGGGAGACTTTATTACCTATTACTGGCATCCAAGTGAATTTTGTCTATTTGCGGGAAGAATTTAGGAATAGCTAAGGATGAAATATGCTTGAATTCTCATAACATGCCTAACTCTGCTCTACACCTTAGGTCTAACCAGATGCAACTGATACTTTCTGTCTATAGAGGGTACTGTTGCCCCACTTCCAGGAGAATGGGACCCAAAAAGTTAGCAATTATATAAAGCACTGATTTGATGAATCACAGATAATCGCATTTTCGGAAACAGGGAGAAAATGCATTGATGGCTCTGAACTCTCAATCATCCTTTATTCTTGCACCCTTAAAACACACAGAAACATACACAAATACATACAGAGCCTCTCAGAATAAAAAAAAGATAATACATAGTATAAATGTATTACATCTGCTGGCAAAGCCGCCTTCAAATTTAATAAACTAAGATATGTTCCGCTAAAAATGCTTGTGTGCCTTTTTGGATGGGTAGCAAACAATTCAGGAGAACTGCTTGGATGACAGTCAATAATACAAGTTTTTGTAGTGGGACAATGTTGTTCTTCTTATTATTATTAAATCTTCAATTCGATTCACAGTTTGAGACTGGTAAAAACTAACAGTTAAGATCCTAACTAAGGACCTAAGACCTACAATGAGGATGATGTGGATGATTAAAATTTATTTGGCTGCCCAATTCACTCATGGTGGTTCCTGATGGCTTACAAATATAAAACCCCAGTACAGAAACCAATTCTGCAACACATTTACCTCCAGATTGTTAAATCTGGCTTCTGTAGTGTAATAGTTATTTTTTTACAAAATAAAGAAATATTAACACTGAAGTGAAAAGCATTTGTCAAGGCACCAGAGATCAAGTCTACTTGTATCTCTGGGTGTTTTAAAATTTAACCCACGTTTTGCCAAAAGGAATCCAACTACATATAACGTTGCCTGATGTTTCTGGATTCAACCCAATGAAAATAAATAGTAATGATCTTGCTAGTTGTTGATTTTAGGTGCCTCGTTTTGAGACTGACATCCTAATTTCCTGTCCCTTTGTGAACCAAGAAAAAGTTGATCATTCCGGGCAGTGTTCACACAAAAACTGGACCCATTAAGCCTAAGTTATCAACACTTAATTGCCCTGTTCACATATCATGCTGTGCTCCACTGAATAAACCATGTTATGCCTTAATGTGACAGTCAGCTTTACACAACCTGTTAAGAAAAAGGCAATAGCATACTTACCATGTTTAACATAGTTTTATGTACTGGGCAAAGTTAAGCTAAATAGTAGACTTTGTCTTCTTCTTCTGTGTCTAGATCAGACTTTAAACTGCCAGAATGGCTTTGTCGTTGGCCAAAAACAAGTCATTATTGCTACAGATAGTCCTTGACTTACAACAGCTAGTTTAGTGATTGCTCAAAGTTACAATGGCACTTAAACACCCTTTGAATGATTCAGCAGTATGAACGGATTTCCAGAAAACATTGCAGACTGCAGGAATCATTTGCGCTTCAGTTTGAGATGCACAGACTCCTCCCCAACAGCCTGTGCCTGTCTTCAACAGTGAAGGGACACAAGGCAGAAAACATCCTGCAGCCAAGAAGGCTGCACACCCATTTGCACCACACAGGTGACCCAGAAGTCACAGGTAAACCTCCAAATGGCCTCAACGACTCTCTGAAAGGATGCAAATGACCAGCTGTCTGCAAGGAGTATAAATCCTTCCATTCCCCATCATCCAGTCAGAGCTGAAGAAGCTTCTTGGATGAGAAGCGAAATGTCTTCAAAAACAAGAACGTCCAGTCGCCTCTTGAAAAAAGCACCTATGGCCGTGATGGCGAACCTATGGCACGGGTACCAGAGGTGGCACTCAGAGCCCTCTCTGTGGGCACGCGCGCCATCACCCCAGTCCTAGGCGTTCAGCTGGGTTTTATAAAACCTTTTCGCTTTATGCCTCCGCTGTCGTGTGCAAAAAAAAAGGTTCAATCAATCAGTCAATTTCAACTTCTCACGGGGAAAAAAAAGATCTTGCAAAGTTGGAATTGATTGATTGAACTTTTTAGTCCGACTCAATCTGCTGTTACCACCTCAGCCATTCCCATCCAATGGGCCACACCCACCCAATGAGCCACACCCACCCAATGGGCCACACCCACCCGGCACCCGATGATGCATAAGCGGGTTTTGGGTTGTAGCTTGGGTACTCAGGCTCTAAAAGGTTTGCCATCACTGACCTATGGGATAAAGACCACAAAAGGGAAAGTCACAAAAAGAGATCACATGACCATGGGACAATGCAGCTGTCATAAATACATGCCAGTTGCCAGGCATATGAATTTTGATCCCATGACTGTGGGGACGCTGGAGTGATCCTATGGGTGAGAACTGGTCATAAGTCACTTTTTTGCAGTGCCAGTCAACTTCAAACAGTCATTAAATGAATAGTTGCAAGCCGAGAACTACCTGCCCTCTCAGCTCAACCTACCTCACAGCATTGTTGTTGAGAGAACGACACTAAACATGACCTGCTTTGATTCTTGAATGAAGGACCGGCTACAGATCGAATCAATTGAAGAAATGAATAGTGAGAGACACATTCAAAGGTTGGGGAAGTTCAACACAAAGTTGAAGTTCATGCACACTTTAACAGGCTTTAATCAATCATTTGCAGATAGAGGGGTCATTCTGACAAGATAGATGCATTTTCCTGGGTTGGGCAACGGGAATTAAAATGCACGATACTTGACAGAAGCATGAAAGCTGCATACGGCCATTAATTTTCAACCCCTCGTGAAATAAAAACTTCAAAGGCAAAAGACAGCATTCTACATTTTTGTAACCATCCTCACTCTGTCAGTAAGTAAACTACAGCAGCAAGAACCTTCCTTCCTTCCTTCCTTCCTTCCTTCCTTCCTTCCTTCCTTCCTTCCTTCCTTCCTTCCTTCCTTCCTTCCCTCCCTCCCTCCCTCCCTCCTTCCTCTTTCTTTCTTTCTTTCTTTCTTTCTTTCTTTCTTTCTTTCTTTCTTTCTTTCTTTCTTTCTTTCTTTCTTTCTTTCTGGTGTTCCTTTGTGATTTTTTAAAAGTTACTTAGTAATTAAGTTGTAATTTGTTTTTAATTTATTTTTATTCGCAAGAGTTTTCTCCCTATTGGTTTCTTTTTCTCCTTAGATAGGTTAATGGGGGACTTTTTTTGCTTTTACTCTAATAAGCTAGGCATATTTCCTTTTATACAGTTAAATGTAGGTGTATAGTTACATAGTTTTGATATAATACTGCAAATTCATAAGCAATGTCTTTTCAAAAGTGTCTTCAATAAATACTTTTTAAAAGCTAGCTTCAGAATAAGGAATAATAGAAGACTGTACGTATTATTTTAAGTTGATGCTTGTATTCTGTCTTCCAACTTCTCTTCTGTTACAAAAAAGATTTGGTTTTCTACCTCAGTGGGCTTGAGAATTCCTTTAAAATTTCTCTTGGTAATGTTTTTGAATTTCATTTATGGTGGAAATGCAACTTTTGCTATTGCTTATGGAGATGCTCAATCATCCAGGTCATGGTTGTTCCAAAGATGCTTGAGAAAACTCCTTTTCTATTGTATATCCTTCCTTTAGTTTGAAGCCTCTCCAAGCTACCTAACATTATCCAGGGAATTCTCCTGATGTTTGGTTTTGGGGTGGGGGAGATGTACAAGGCCACAAGGAAGATTGTGCATTGAAAGACCACTTCAGCAGGGCTGAACAACAGGGCTGAACAAATTTTGAAAGGGGATCTTGCTCCAATGAACACTTGTGCCTTTGAATCTGGTTTGCCCAAGATTTCTGGAACTGAAACAAAATGTCTATAGATATTTATCTATTTATCATCTTTTTATCTATTTATTTCCTGCCTTTATTCTTATTACAAAGAGCTCAAGCCAGTGAACATATCCAACACACCTTTCTCCTCCTATTTCCCCAGAACAACAACCGTGTGAGGTGGGCTGGGCTGAGAAAGAGAGACTGGCCCATAGTCACCCAGCCAACTTTCATGCTTAAAGCAGAGCTAGAACTCACAGGCTCTTGGTGATTGGCTCAAGGTAATCCAATTGGCTTTCATGCCTAAGGCGGGATTGGAACTCACAGTCTCCTGGTGATTGACCCAAAGTCACCCAATCAGTTTTCATGCCAAAGGCGGGACTGGAATTCACAGAATTCTCCTGATGATTGGTCAAGATTGCCCAACCAGCTTTCGTGGCTAAGGTGGGACTTTTTTCCCACCCAAAAGATTCCAAAATATTGCTCTTTGGTGTTTCTTATGTCTTTGAATCAAGGGGAAGCACTATTATACTCCAAAAGGAAGGTGAGAGCTGATATTGGGAACTGCTTTGGCCTCTAATGAATTAACTGCTATTTCTTTATCTGGTAGATTAAAAATAAAAAAAGTGCAACCAGTTCTAGCAACAAATAACTCTAACAAAGAACAAAGTCACTGAACAGCCAATTCTAAAGACCTGGTCATGCCCTATTTTTCAAAGATCTATTGTATTTTTAAGTTGCTCACATTTTATTCTAAACGAATAATTAGATTAAAAGGTACATATTGTAGATGTTTGCTAAATATGCAAATAAAGACTGTAATCTTACATCCATAGCACCTAGCTGATCAGAGCTGATCTTGGAAGCTTAGTAGCTTTGAGCTTGGATATGAAACCACCTGTGGAATTCCAGGTTATGGGCTAGATTGGGAAGTTGGACAAGCATCTCCGAAGGCAGAAAACTGGCGAGCCATTTCCATATCATTGCCAAGAAAACTACCCGGATGCATACATGAAATCACCAGGAACCGAGTTCAGCTTAATGGAGAACTTTTGCTTTTAATGCAGTTAGGGATGCATCCTAAGAGACCGCATAAAACTGAGATCTGTATCTCAAAATCTCCTGTGAACAACACACATTTTTCAGACTCCTTTCTTTTGCTCTTAGTGAACAGGAGAGTATCTCTTCAAGGGTTAATGGCAAATGTTCTTGCCAGACATGAAGGTAATAAAAGATCTGGTGGATTAAAATTGTTTGGGGATTAGAGATTCCGTCCTTAAAAGAGGAGGAGGAGAAGAAGAAAGAGAAGAAGGAGGAGAGGAGGAAAAGGAGGAGAGGGAAAAGAGGAGGAGAAAGAGAAGACCAAGGAGGAGAAGGTGAAGGAGAAGGAAGCATAAATATTACATACTGTATAATCTTCACATAATCTAATTTTGGTCCGAAATGGAAACTGACATCAAGACAAATGACAACACCAAGGTGGGTGATATTCCAGCTAATTGACTAAGCCCAGTTTGTTGTGTGAATGTGCCAAAAGGAAATTCCAACACAGTTAGGCAGTATATCTGTGTCTTAGATCCATTTGTTATCCGGATTATTCTTTTGGCTCAAGTCAAAGACCTACTGTAGAGCAAAACAGAGGTCATAGACTTCTACAAACAAAAATATACTTTCCAAGGCTGTTCTCTTTGCTCTCGTTTTCCTTACGGATGAAAAGCTTTTGTTCAATACTCCAGTCCTGCTTTTTTCCAGAAGAAATTCCAAAGTGTATAAAATTTGGGAAACAGAGCCTCTGATTTGCCTCGAACAGAATCCCCAGGGTATGGCTACGATAGAGGTAGGTCTGTCGTATTCAAGGGAGGAAAGTGGGAAGAAGGCCTTCTTATTATTTTGAGGGGAGTAAATCCATCTGGTAAAAATATTAAAAAAAGGAATACTTACTCAGGCATGTTGAAGGAGGAAGAGAAATGCAGTTTTATCAACCATAAAGCCAGAAACTGAAATTTGTTTAATTAAAAAAAAAAAGAATCAAAAAGTTAATACCCTTGGTCTTAGGGTAACTTGCAGGCAGGGAAATACATGCTATCAAATCCCAGATTACAGCATATTCGGTTTTTTTCGTGGGCTTTCTTTGAATGAATGGGTCAAGTATTTAAAACAATACTACAGTAGGCTGCCACAATTTCACAAGCAGAAATTGGGGGGGGAGGGGAGGAACCTGCTACTGTTTAATAAATGTGCTATGATGTGGTTTTCAAATTGCTTAGTGGACAAGGAAGATTTATATACAAATGGGCATGGATTCCGTTGCAGCTCTGGTAAATTAGATGATGTCCAATTGGAGAAGAATTCTATAAAGGTTCCTCTGTGTGATTTTTGCAAGGATTGATTTTATTCAGTGGTGGTGGGGATGGACTACTTGATTTTTGCTTGTTTTTACACTGCCCTGAGCCTGGTGCTAGGGGCAGGGTAGATAAATCCTAAATAAATACATAGCTTGATTCATTGATTTGATGCGTGGACTTGTGCATTGGCTTGTCTATCCTTTCTTTCGTTCAAGAAGTCTTTGTAGCAATCTTTCTTCCTATTTTTCCCCACAACAGCTTCTCCTGGCAGGTAGGCTGGTCTGAGAAAACAAAACTAAAGGAAATTCTGTGGGCTGGTGGACTTGAACCCAGGTTCAAGCAGTGAAAGAGTGGGAGACAGAGCATACACTGCTGGAAAATTTCATTGACAAACAGAGATGGGGGATAGATTCATTTTTCCAGTCTTATGATCCAGGTGCAGCCTTTGAGGTTTTCTCCGTAGGAGTAAGTGGTTATTGCTTGTATAGCAGAAAGAAATAAGATATTGCTACTCCAGATGGTAGCTGAGCACCAAAGAATTGAGGCCTTTGAACTATGGTGCTGGAGAAGACTCCTGTGAGTCCCCTGGACTGCAAGGCGATCAAACCGGTCAGTCCTAGAGGAGATCAACCCCGACTGCTCTTTAGAAGGCCAGATCCTGAAGTTGAAACTCAAATACTTTGGCCACTTAATGAGAAGGAAGGACTCATGGAGAAGGGCCTAATGCTGGGAAAGATGGAGGGCAATAGAAGAAGGGGACGAGAGAGAATGAGGTGGCTGGATGGAGTCACTGAAGCAATAGGCGTGAGCTTAAATGGACTCCAGACGATGGTAGAAGGTAGAGGATGGTAGAGGACAGGAAGACCTGGAAGAATGTTGTCCATGGGGTTGCGATGGGTCGGACACGACTTCGCAATTAACAACAACAACACTCCAGATGGGAACATTTACCTAGTCTTTTGCCAATAAATGTACTCATTCAATCCCACTTCTTTCTTTGCCTGATTTGCACTATTATAACTCTGATCTTGCCTAAGAGTATTAAGTATTTGAATTACGTTCATACAAGGAGGATCTACAACAGGGGTGTCAAACTGCCGGCCCATGGGCTGGACACATCATCAGGAAACCACGCCCACCCCATTGCCGGCAATGGAGAAAAAGCTCCGATACATCATGCAATGTCATGTGATGTCATGAGTTTGACATGTCTGATCTACAACAACATTTTGCAGTGCAGAATATGTCCAGGATATCCTATTTTACTCTGACTTACTGTTTTCAATTGTTTTGCACTTTAAGAGATCTCCAGGATACTGTCACCTTAATGTGACTATTGAGTTTAGCCCTTGACTTACACCCATTTGTTTAGTGAATGAAGTTACAATGCCACTGAAAAAAGTGGCTTAACATTCCTCACATTTATAACTATTGTAGCATCCCCACAGTCACGTGATCAAAATTTGGGCATAGGC